ATTAAATTGTTCCAATATGTTTATTATTAGTTATATAGTTTATATAATATTAGTTATATATCGCTACGTGGCTAGCGATCATGGAGGTTAAGCAACGTCCAGTGCGGTTAGTACTTAGATGGGTGACCGCGCTTCGACTCTCGCTATAGCCTGATGTTTTCTCACTACTTTCAGGAGTTTCAGGAGAAGTTTTCTAAATTTTCCTTCTCCTCTGTCGAGAAAACCCATTTAGAGGGTGGTCCAGGCAAATGCGAATACAGTAGAACCCTGATTATCCGAGCTAATATGTACCGGACCTACCTCGGATAAAGCGAAAACTCGGATAAAACGGACTTTTATTTTAGTATATGTAATTTAACATTTTATTTTTAAAAAAGTCTTTACTGTAAACGAGAAACGGAGTTTTATATTCATATTCCATAATAACTTAAGCAATTTATTAAAATAACAAGAATTTTCAAAAATTTTTGGAATCTTTTTAATGTCGCAACTCGGATAACTCGGACTAGGTCAGTCGTAATACTCGGATAATGAGGTATTTGCTCTTTTGATACCACCTCGGATAAAGCGAGCTCGGATAACCGGGGTTCGATGAACTTTTCGAACATATTACAACCTGTTTAAGTGAACGGGTAATAAAAGTAATTGTTTGTACATAAGGAGAAAACTATACTAAAAACGTATGCAATGTTAATTTTTGGAAACTGAACTAAATTTAAAATTTATTATAACTTTTAGAAAAACTGGTCTTGGGGATGAAAAATCCAGGGACAAAAATCCATTGAATATTATGTGAAATTCATTTGTTTTTTACTTAACTGACCTTCTAATTTTACAAAATTTTTGCGTGTTTACTTAATAAAATTAATAAAACACGACGAAAAAATAGTTCAAAGTGCGCTAAAAAAATAAATAACGAAAAAACGGTTGCAACAAAATATGGCATCTGTGGTGAAATTTAAGGAAGACTTAAAAAAAGGTACAAAAACTTGGTAGTGCAAATCGAAAACAGGTAAAATTAACATAATATTCAATTTTATAATTCAGTTGTTATAAAAAATTGTTCTTACGTCAAATTTGAAGTTAATAACTAATATTTCTTTCTTAAATTAAATTTAAAATTTACAGTGATAAAATATAATATTTTGTGACAAATTAAATGGCTCAAATAATTAAAAAGGGTAGAAAAGTTTATTTGGAAATTCATGGATTCTTATATTATAAACATTCGGAGGCTAAGGTTATAAAGTAAAGTATGATTTCATTGTATACCCTTTCGGGTATTTACAATCTCCTCAACATCACTACTAAACTTTCCTAACTCACAAACTCTTTGGGGTCCCGATTTTTGCGGCTGCAGCCGACTTAGGTTAGGAGTACTCGCATTCGCCTGGACATTTGGCCAGGAAAGAGGAAAACTGCAAAAAAACCCACTTCTCGAGTACAACCGGTTTATTGACGTCGAGTCATGAATGTACATTTGGATAGCCATCACAAATGCACAAACATAGCCTCGGGCGTCAAACCTCCCGTTTGATATATCTCGATCAGCGAAAAAACCGAGACTGTAGCGATATTCACAGAGTCACCCATCCAAGCACTAACCGCGCTCAAATGGTCCTTAACCTCTGTGATCGCAAGCCACGAGTTCCGCCAACCGAGCTATACCATCGGTGGCTAAGGTTATATATTGGAGGTGCAAAACTAAAAGTAAGTGTGATGCTCGTGCAATTACAGTTAGTGATGGAGACGCAATTATAGTACGTAAAGGTCCGAACCAATCTAAACATAATCACGCTCTAAATCGAGAGGAGGTTAATAATAATAATAAAATAATAATAATAACTTATTTCGAATATTAAGAAAAAAGCCACTGAAAATCCGGAAGCACCGCCAGCGCAAATTCTAATGTGTTTGCAAGACGTGCCTCAGGTACTTTAGCAGAACTTCCCGATAGAAAAAATATTCGAATTTGACGTGAGAACAATTTTTTATAACAACTGAATTATAAAAGTCAAATTAGAAGAGTATTGGTTACCAGTTTTTTGTTTCATTTTTTGAAACAAATTTTGGAACAAATAATACTTTGGAAAAAATGTCTTTTGGGAAAAATAACTTCTTGAAACTTTTGGTATTAGAACATTTTTTTTTAACTTTTTACTCCCTACCCTTTAAAGTTAGATATTATTATCCCAAAAAATAAAATTTAACTTTGAAGTGCTCCCATTTACGTAAACAAATTTTTTTCAAAACGGCTACGTCACTGTTCAAAATTTATCACTTTTTAGAAAAAATGTTTATTTACTTATTTCAGACCAAAATTGAAATGCCAATCATGCCCATCATCAAGGAATGTACTGCTGCACTGAAATGCGTATGTCTCCGACATTTTTAATTTTTTTTAGAAACTATTTCGTATTTACATATAGCTTACAATATGTATTAAAAACAATAAAAAAAATGTCTTATGGCGTCACCCCTTAAATTTTTAAATTAATTAATTAACTAACTTATTATTATTACTTTTATTATTATAATTATATAATTATTTTATTAGATTTATTTTATTATATACCTAGGGGAGGATGGGGCAAGGATAGTTAGGTAAGACCTTTTCGGATCTACACTGCAAAAACAAGTGTCTCATTTTGAGATGTTTTGTCCCATATTTGAAACACATAAGATGTCTTAGTCCACATATTTGAAACAGATATGTGTCTCATTTTAAGACGTTTCAAAGTGTCTTACACATTTAGCAATGCATTTTGAGACACGAAATGTGTTTCGAGTATCCGTCTCACACTAGGAAGACGTTTTACGTGTCTTATACGCATTGAGTTACCTTTAATGTCTTAAAATGAGACACGAGATGAAATTAAATGTCTCAATATAAAACAGATTTTGTATCTCAATGGTTTAAACACTTAAAGCAACTCATTTTAAGACACGAGTGAGATAGCAGTTTTTGCAGTGTAGCGGCCAAACTTGAATATGTATCTGCAAACGAAAAGTATTTTTGGAAAGCCTGGTTATTAAGCTATTATTTTGCTATACATTATTTTACTATAGACTCAAATCCCTACGAGATACGAATGTAAAAGTCAACAAAAATTGCCCTGGTGCTGGGGCAAGGATAGTTAAAGAATCCGAATGTTATACAAAATTAGTAGATTTTCGTTCTCTTTATTTTATTCGATTTAGACTATTCAATATTGATATCTGAAGTATTAACAATATGTTTTGAACATTTTCTAAATTTTAATTATTGCATAAAAATTCGCCTGAACTTGAATCTCAGTTTTAACCAATTTTCTTCAGACACCCAAGTAGAAATGTAATACTGGCATAGTATTGACTGACAGTATATCAGTACTGACTCGAGTACTAAATCAGTACTGGGAAACCCCTGGCTGGTAACGCTGTCCAGTACTGATTTTTTACCGGCAGTCAGTACTAAGTCAGTATTAAAATATCACTGGCAGAACACCGCCTACTTACTGATTCGCAGGTAAAATTTAACAAATTTAGAAAATGCTGTAACGCGTTCTCTAAAACAAAATTTACCTTTAGAAGCTTATATTAATTTGTTATTTGATTATTAAAGAATAGCGAGTAAATTATTGAATACTAATAATTATTATTAATATTTCTGCAGTAAATAAACTTTTATGAGTAACAATAAAAATGTAAATAATTAGCAAAATTGCTTTTATTGAAGTAAGTTTAAAAAAAATTTTCTTTTTTTTTCATTAATTTAGACAATCTTATTTATTTAAATTAATTACTAAATTATTATTAATATTGTTTATAATTATTTAAATTTATATTTTATGTAACACTGTTGAGAATTATACACGAAACACTTAGAACTAAGACGGAAAAATATCGCACGCACGGGGGATCGAACCCTAGACCTCGAGGACGCAAGTCGAATACACTAACCGCACAGCCACGCAAGCTTGGAAGTGATTTTACTTAAACTTCCTATTGAATTATGGAAAGAATATAATTATTTATTAATTATTATTTATTTATTATTTTTAAATTATTTAATTATTTATTATTTATAATTTAATCATTTATTAAAATAATAATAAAAAATATATTTGTGGGCAATTCCACGTGAGATTTAAGTCGACCTCTTAAAATCGGCCAAACATATTTTTTTTCTATTCTGTATCGAAGAAAAACAGATACGTATTTTTTTATTTATGTTTAATTGTCCAAATTTTCGAGTTATGAATTTTCGAAAATTTTGGACTTTTAATTGTAGACTTATATTCAGTAGCTTATAAGTCCGAAAATATTGAGTTTAGGAAAAAGTTGTCAAAAATGAAAGTTTTAGTTTTCTTTCGACTTTTAAGAAATGTAAACAAAAAATTTTTTAAAAAATTTTTTATTGAAAAAAAATGTTTTTTTTATAAACAAATTAATTTTTTTTAACTTTGGGCCGGATTTTTAAAATTTTTTTTCTATTTTTTTTGTACCTTATAATATAGAGAAGGTTTTTCAAAATGTCCCGAAATGGGCCTGATGTGTTAAATGAGTTTTAAAATATTTTTAAAAATCAATTGCAAGCATCACAGTTTTTTGTTTAGATTTCTTAAAAGTCGAAAGAAAACTAAAACTTTCATTCTTTGACAACTTTTTCCTAAACTCAATATTTTCGGACTTATAAGTTACTGAATATAGGTCTACAATTAAAAGTCCAAATTTTCGAAAATTCATAACTCGAAAATTTGGACAATTAAACATAAATAAAAAAATACGTATCTGTTTTTTTTTCGATACAGAATAGAAAAAAAATATTTTTGGCCGATTTTAAAAGGTCGACTTAAATCTCACGTGGAATTGCCCTTATACATTTTTAAAAAATAAAAAAATTGTATTATTAATAGGTAATACATAATAGTAAAAATAATTAAAAAATAATTTTTTATTATTATTATGATTGTGACGACACTTGTCGACCCCTCATTTTTTATATATAATAATGACGTTGTCGTTGGCTTCTCAATTATTTAAAACTCGCGCGCTATTTGACCAGATGTCGAATAGCTGCGCATTTGTCGTCTCAGAGCAGACGACAAAACCACGTTTTCGCTTCTGCCGGCTTTTTCCAGCAGAGCTAAGCAAGCGATCCGCGCGTCAACTCGTGCTGCGTCACGATCTTCACCTGCGGTTCTTTTTGTAACTTAATTACGTTTTTATTAAAGAATTATAATTTCACTAATTGTTGCTTTTCTTTCGCGCGTGTTGTGCTGTGTCCAATTTATACTAAACTAGTAGGATAAATCCAACAACTGTACGACAACCCACGCAGATTTGGTTCACAACGACAGTCAACACCGGTAAGTCTGATTGATTCTCTTCTTGACTCGCTCGCTTGGATCTCTGCGAGGCATCGCTCGTCACAATTTTTATCCTTTTATGTTTCTCCCGCATAAACTGTGGAAATCTCAACCCTGTGCTCCCGATACGAGACGGACTCACGCCGCGTATTCAAATAATATTAAATTTCGTGTCCGGGTTGTCACATTTTTGGCGCCCAACGTGTCTTGGTTATTTGAACCAAGATAAAAAGCCAGAACTGTGCCTATGACACATTTTTGGCAAACTCACTGTTTTAACTTTCAGTGTTAAAATCAAACCTTTTTCTTGCCTTTATTTCCCTCGAGGAATCCCGCCGTCGTTTTCAAAATGTCGCACGGCATGGCTTCTCCGAGAGAATAAACGCACCTTCTTTCGTGCTTCACACGCATAAAATGATAATTTTCTTGCATTGTTAAATTCTACATTTCCCAATGAAAATTTTTTACATTTTGCGCTTACGATAGCACACAAATTTTAACGAAATTTCCACAGTTGCCTGCGAAAAATTTCGAATTGCACGCACACACGCCTTGCTTGCTTACTCTCAATACATAGATATACATGCATGTTAAACGCACATGCCGCATTCACGCTTGCAATTGCTTCACTTGCCAAAACGCATCACTGTGCTTGCCATGCTTATAACTTCGCTTAAATAATTATTATTATTTTTTTTTACGCTAATTAATAATCAATTCTCTTTCGCTTGAAATAAATTAGCAAAATTATAAAAGATTATTATTAGAAAAATTTAAGTGCATTTATTGATAATATTATGTATAAATAAATAAAAAAAAAAAAATTTTTTTTAAATTTAATATCCTATTGTGTGAAAAACATTTCTGCTCGAATTTTATAATTCTACGCTTCGCACAATGACTACCATGGGGAAAAATTCCGTTTAAAATTTTTTTTTCTCTTCTCTTCCATAACATTACATGCTACCAAAAACAAATTTCAGGTCTCTTGTTCAGGTCGCGCGATGTAAACAAACCACGTTTACGAAAATAAATTTTGACTCATCTTTCTTAATAAAAATTAAATCAAATTCAATGAAATCACGAAAATAAAATAATCAAATATAATTTCCAATCTAATTGAAAAATCAATAAAAAAAAAATTTTTTTTTTCTCTTCCTTTTTCTCAATTATTGAATTTTGATTTACTTTTCTTCCCGCTTAAACTGTTATTAATGAAAAATAAAATTAATTTTTCAACCGTTTAAAATTAATGAAAATCAAAAATAAAAATCAAAACTCAAATCGAGTAACAACACGCTCTCAAACTCGTCTACGTGCCACGATGTATAAAACACCGCCACCAAACATTGGAAACAACCAAAACCCTCAACAAGACAAAAAAAAAATGGAAAAGAGAAAAATAATTCCCCCCAACAGGTAGAGGATCAACAAAATATGGGGACTAAACCCCCCCAAAACCAAACCGAACAGGACTTAGGGGCAACTGGCCCCCCCCTCACCACTACGGGGATTGCCACCACCGCGACGACCACCCCACTTCTCATTCTCAACGATACACAACAAATTCATTACGATGTAAGAGATGAAATAAATGAAACCCAAAATATTTTCGGTACAACTTCTACCCTATTTCGAGGCCTTCCGCCAACCACCCCCACTACACAAGCGTCATCAGGAGCAATTCGAAAAATTATCACTTCGTCGCGACACTCACATCTCTCACAGATTAGCACTCCCCTCACAACACGTAAATTCGAACGCACTTTAAAATCAATCCATAATAAACAAGCGCAAAACCTCGAAGAAATTAAAGAAACTATAAAACAATTATTTGACGAACAAACTCAAATATCCACCACTTTAATTTCAACTTTCCACGCGAAAAATAGACAAGAAATAAACACCTTTAAATCGCAAATGATTGATGCACTCAGTTCCCACCGCATTGACACGGCGGAAACATTAAGCGCACATCGGTTAGAATCAAATCGCGCAATCGAATCCTTATCAAATCGTTTGTCCGATACAAATAAATCGCTAACTTCCCTCACACAAAAAATAAGTGCATTGCAAATGCATGTGACGCAATCTCTTTGGGAAAATCCCAAACAGACATCAAACGAAAGTAGGGAGTACATACCAAATTTTACTTACGCACCCCCCACTCTCACAACACCAGCAGTCACAACATCAACCGCGGGATATAGCACAACAACCTGGTCAGAAGCGATTCCACAGCACTTCGCCCCAACACCGTCTTACACTTTACCCCCATTACAAGTGCCTCTACCAACACACACGCTTCAATCGGATTATATTCAGCACCAAATTGACACCCCATGTTCAAACGGCGCTGATTCTCATCTCGATTCGACACAACAGATTTATAACACGATCGCTAACCCCCAACCGGCACCGAGAACCGCGATTCCAAATTTACATAAAATAATTAAATCGTGGGAACTCAAATTTCCGGGTAATTTAGAAGCGCTTGATTTCATATCAGAATTTGAAAGCCGAATGCTTTCAACTAACATAAATCCCGATGATGCCCTTCATTCTTTATCCCAAGTACTCACGGATAACGCGTACACTTGGTACACTACTTTCCGTCATACTTGGCACACTTGGAAAGAATTCAAAACGAAATTTTGCCTTATGTTCGGTGAATCAAACGATGACCAAACGTTGACAAATAAAATTCAACGCGCAGTCCAGCAAACAGACGAAACTGGACTCAATTTCGTCATACGCGTCAGTTCATTGTACAATCGCCTCCAACACAAAGTACCAGAGGCGAACCAACTCGACAAAATTTATACCGGTCTTAAAGCAGACTTAATCACCCACTTTGACCGTGACACGTTTAGAACTTACGACGGACTAGTTTCCCAAATCCATAAATACGAAAACAAAATTGCAACTATGCAATGGTCCACTAAACTGCGCGAATACGATTCTAAACGAAAAAGTAAAACACACGGCAAAACGCATCTAAACGCACTAGAAAATTTGCCTCAAACAATCGATAATACGGAACCAGAACCTCCAACGAGAACAAAACCTGACACTCCCGTAAAACCAACACAAAATACCAACAAAAAACAAGGTAAACAACAACAACAATCTTCTAATAATAGTAAATATGAATCTTACATTCAAACTATTGCACATTTGACATCTAAGATTCCTAGAAACTATATTTCAAGATTGCCACAAACAACAGGTTCTAAACAATCTCCGGACAACCCTACTTCTTCCCGCAATTCGCGCAGGCAATCTCGATCCGATTCTTCCTGCTCTTCACGTTCCGCTTCATCGCAGAAAGGGGGAAAAAAACGCGGTTCGCCTGCGCGCAATAAAGACGATAAAGACAAACAGTCCAATCGCCACGGAAGAAGTAACAATAACAATAAGGGTAAAAGAGGTAATTCAAACAGGGGCAGAAATCAGGGTAACAATTGGAATGCTCAAAACAACGGACCAAACCAACAAATCCCTTATTTCACATAACTCCCACCGAACTACCCTTACGGAATTCAAGCACCCCAACAACAACCAATGGAATCCGCGCAGCAACCTCAACAAATATTAGTTATGCCACAAGCTGCCCCACCCTCTTGGCACGGAAATTACAATCAAAATTTTCCGAATACATCGCACCAGAACCTAGCACCACAATCAAAAAACGATGGGAATGCCAGGAGAGATTAAGTCTCCCTGGCGAATCCCCAAATCCAAACAACACAATTCCCAACGGTAATCTTAATAATCGAAACAAAATCGAAGATAGCGCAATTCCCAGCTGCAGCCACACCACAGACGAACCAAAGCGCATTCTTGAAAATGCAACTACGCTTTATCAAGCGTTTGCTACCAAGAATGACGCAAGCGATTCTGACTGTGAATGGGGCAAATGCTATTTTACGGAATCCGAGACGGAATACGAAGACTCTGACGAGGAGCCCTCCTCCACCGACCACACAAACTCGGTTCAGGCGCGCATTTCCTCACTTTCTCCCAGATCCTCGTTACCTCCGAGTAGTTACTTGCTCGCGATACAAAAAAATATCGAGAGCAAAATATCAAAAGGGCCCGCGCTCCCCTTACCGTCGCAAAAACGATGTACAATAACAACTTCGATCAAAATCGGTAACAAAAATTACACGGGACTCCTTGACACGGGCAGTGACCGCACTTTCATGTCAGGAGAACTATACGATGAAATTAACGACCTCGTTAACGGTAAACCAATTCTCGACGCGATAACTCGTGCCGGAGTACAACTCGCGCAACGCGACCATATCGCCGCGCCTCGCTACTCCGCCAAGTTCAATGTCGAAATTTCCGATTGTACCGGCGAAATGTGGTTCGCAGTCCTTGACGGACTTACCACGCCCATTATCCTGGGAATGGACTTCATAACCCTCTGGAAAGTCGTTATTGACGCTGCCCAAGGTTATTGGTCCATAGAGGGATCTGAAAAACGACACCCTCTACTTTCCCCTGATAATATCCGAAGCATCCTTAGTACCGCGCAAATTATAGAACTAACGCCCGAACAACAGGAAACGCTACAAAAATTCTTAGACGAAGAATTATCCAAATTCGCCGATTACACAGGAATCGTTACGGATATGACAACGCATGTCATCGAATTAACAGACGAAACCCCGTTTAAAATTAAACCGTATCGCCGTAGTTTAGAAGCCGACAATATCATCAACTTGCAAATCGATAAGTATCTATTTCGAAAGTTCATCGCACCAAGCAATGGACGATTTGCCAGCCCCGTGTTATTGACCTACCGAAAAGATGGCAAGCCGCGCGTTTGCATCGATTACCGACGACTCAATAAAGTCACAAAAAAATCCGCGTATCCACTACCCAGAATGGATAGTATACTTGACGCGCTATCGGACGCCGTGATTATCAGCACAATTGACCTCACCGATGCGTTCCACCACATACCGATCGACCCAAAATCGCGCGAATACACCGCTTTTACGATCCCCGGTCGTGGACAATTCGAATGGGTTCGGATGCCCTTCGGCCTCACAAATGCGCCAGCCACGTTTCAGGCTTTTACTGATAGACTGAAACAAAAGTTTGTCGAGTACATACGCGATCACAATCTCCCCGAAAGATTAATCAATCAAGTACACGCATACTTAGATGATTGGATCATTATTTCCAAAACTTTCGATGAGCACCTACAAATTTTAAAAATAGTATTCACTATTCTTAGAGAGGCAGGAATGTCCATTAATCGTGAGAAATCCTTTTTCGCTAAATCTTCGGTCGAATATCTCGGATACATACTCGACAAGGACGGACTTAAGCCCAACCCTAAACGCATCGAGCCAATCCTCGAACGACCGAGACCCAAGAATCGAAAAGAACTGCGCCAGTTCAACGGATCAGTCAATTGGTACCATCGCCATTTGCGCAATATCGCGCGAGTGCAAGGACCACTCAACAAGTTAGCAAGTCCCAAAGTACCCTGGAACTGGACCGACGAACACGAGACCGCATTCATAGCAGTCAAGAACGAATTGAAAAACGCTCTTACCCTAAATGCGCCTCGGCCAGGCCTCCCGTTCTTTCTTTACACTGACGCGAGCGATACAGGAATAGGCGCGATCCTCACTCAACAGGACGGCGATCGAGAATATCTGATCACGTGCGTAAGCAGACCCTTGAGAGGTGCCGAGTTAAACTACACGACCACCGAAAAGGAATGCTTAGCACTGATCGATTCGATCAAGAAGCTTCGTTGCTACCTCGAACTTACCGAATTCACGGCAATAACGGACCACTCTAGCTTGACTTGGCTCCAGGGCATTAAAGACCCCAGAGGCAGACTTGCTAGATGGGCCTTAGAGTTGTCCGCGAACAGAGTAAAAATCGAGCATCGTAAAGGCACGATGAATGAAGCACCCGATACTCTCTCTCGTCTTTACGAAAACCCAGCGGAAGACCTACCTCCGACACAAATCAATCTCGTAATGAATCAATCATGGTACGATACCATGAGACAAAAAGTTCGTGAAAACCCCGAAAAATACGAAAGGTATAGAGTAAGTTCGAACGGTGAACTGTTTTATTACAAGCCCAATCACTTGAAAGAAACCATTGGCGATAATAACGCTTGGAAAAAGGTCCTAAAAGAACCCGAGATCCTTACTACTCTCGCGGAGTATCACGACACCCCACAATCTGCGCACCAGGGCATTAATAAGACCTATCATGCGATTTTAAATTCTTATTACTGGCCAGGCATGCGCGAAGACGTAAAGCGATACGTCAATAAATGTGAAATTTGCCTTCGATGTAAACCGGATAACTCCCCTCCACAAGGTTTGATGTACCCGCGCAAATTCACAGAACCATGGGAAGTGGTATCGTTAGACATTATAGGGCCATTACCACGATCAAAGTCAGGGAAATGTTATGTGCTTGTCTGCGAAGACACATACACACGCTATATAGAGTGCTTCCCCCTATCAAAAGCGGACGGCCCTAAAATAGTCAATTCTTTAAACGTTCTGATAAACAAATGGGGAACTCCACGCACCTTTTTAACGGACAACGGAACGGAGTTCGTTTATCGTACTATCACGAAATTTCTGCAAGAAATCGGGACAGAACAGCGAACAACGCCGGTCTACCACCCACAATCTAATCCCGTCGAGCGCGTCAATCGTAATCTAAAGACTATGATCGCCAGTCTCCTCGGCGAAGACCATCGCGATTGGGATAAACTGTTGGGGGAGATTCAATTCGCCTACAACACTACCGTTCACTCCTCACTCGGAGTTTCCCCTGCATTTCTTAACTTTGCCCGCGAGCCTAGACGTACCGGCAAACAACCGTGCGACATCAACGACGATTTGAATGACGCTACTGTACACGACTGGCTTGAGCGCGTTTCTCGAATTGACGATTTGCGTGCTAAAATCGAGCTGTCAATGAAAAAGGCTAGCGAGAAGCAAAGTAAACGATACAATAAAACTCGAAAAGAACAAATTACACTTGAAATTGGAGACCTGGTATTTTACCCGAATAATCTTCTCTCTAACGCCGCGAAAAATTTTAGTTCGAAATTAGCACCTCGCTACAGAGGTCCCGCGACAGTTACAGAAGTACTTTCACCCATGGTAGTCATTATCTCCGACATGCATGGCAAAAAACTGGGTAAATATCACACCAATGATTTAAAGCGTGCTAAAAAAGGATTGCGATCTCGAAATACGTTGTAATTTTCTTTTTCACAGTACCGCGCAACATCATGGCCTCCAACGCATCGAGCGACACCACCAGCCTCCCCTCAACATCAGACTTGCCAATTCTGCGCCTCAACTCCACACCAGGAAGCCTAGAGACTGATGAGTCCAACTTGGACTTTGCTGAGGAGTCATCAGGGCTCGTCTTACTGAGAAAGGAAGAGTTAGAGTCGTTTCTCTCCACCCGCCGCATGCAAGCAATGCACCTGAACTCCGCCATCCGACAAATAATGGACCTCGAGCAACAACTCTCAAGCGAAAGGAAAATCCCTTCCACGGTCCCAAGCGCTTACGAGAACCAGATGCAGGCTTTTGTCACGCTCACGATGAGAAATTGTGAAAAAGAAGAAGAGCTCAAGACCACCCTCGAGCAACTACGCGCCTCCCAGCAGGAAGTGAAAGATCTCAAGGCTGAGTTGGAAGCCTTCAACTACGATTGGGATGAACTTCTCGCCAGTCACAAGAACTACAAAGCGCAAGCAAAGCTGGCTACCGCCTACAAACATCTCTTTAAGGAAAAGATCTCCGAGGTCTACCTTGCGCAATCCGAATTGCGCGAACCATTCCTCCACCCTAAGATGCCCAAAGGATGTATCAACTGCGGTCAGCAAGGACACAGCCAATACACCTGTAAGGAAGAATACTCCGGCGAGTTCTGCCAGAAATGCTCTGCGCAAGGGTTCAACACTAAGGACTGCCCCTGGCCCCATTTTGCCGAGGGAGTCCCAAAGGTCCCCGACAGTCAAAAGTGCCGCCGTTGCCGCCAGCCTAAAAATAAACCAGATCCCAATTGCCCAATCTGCAGAGACAAGATCATCGCTCAAAATAAAACAAAACGCTACGACCTTGCCGTCAAACTAAAGCAAGAATCGCTAGCGCAACTCAGCAACTACTCGACTCCCAAGCTGCACGACGCTCCACGCCCTCAGCAGGACAAAGTCCCAGTCGCCCGACCAACAGAGCAACCAAGCATCAGTCTACCTGTTCCGCCCAGCGCCGAACAACCACCTTCCCGAGATAAAACCCCTCCCCTGAAGCCGATTACCATGAACTCACCATCATCCGATGACGACGCAGAATCTTCGGACACCTCCTCTACAGGACAAGCCACACGAAGAGGCTAATCGCGCTTGAGACTTTTTGTGTTTCCAAAGACAATATCAAAGTGCCTTTTAGTGAAACCAACTACCTCACTACACGCTATAGCGTACATTTTTTTATTTTCTTTTGTTAAAATTAGGTTAATGCGCCGTTGCGCACTTCGTTAATTACTTCAAGACCGAAGCGTCGTTACGCTTACCTCCTATTGTTAGATTAATGCGCCGTTGCGCACTTCGCTATTACTTAACACCGAAGCGCCGTAGCGCACAATATTAAGCAAGCAATGAGCGATGCCTCAATAACAATTCAATTCAAAAATTATTTTTTTACAAATCAAGATATTATTTTCTTTAAGCTCCTCCAGCAAAGTGATACTTTTGTCTCAAAAATACTTTTTACTTTTGCAGAGACGCCCAATAGAGCGAGATCGCCAGGGAGGACGATCATTCAGACTGAGGAGCTACCGACAACCTCATCTTAGAAAGGGGGAATTGTGACGACCCTTGTCGACCCCTCATTTTTTATATATAATAATGACGTTGTCGTTGGCTTCTCAATTATTTAAAACTCGCGCGCTATTTGACCAGATGTCGAATAGCTGCGCATTTGTCGTCTCAGAGCAGACGACAAAACCACGTTTTCGCTTCTGCCGGCTTTTTCCAGCAGAGCTAAGCAAGCGATCCGCGCGTCAACTCGTGCTGCGTCACGATCTTCACCTGCGGTTCTTTTTGTAACTTAATTACGTTTTTATTAAAGAATTATAATTTCACTAATTGTTGCTTTTCTTTCGCGCGTGTTGTGCTGTGTCCAATTTATACTAAACTAGTAGGATAAATCCAACAACTGTACGACAACCCACGCAGATTTGGTTCACAACGACAGTCAACACCGGTAAGTCTGATTGATTCTCTTCTTGACTCGCTCGCTTGGATCTCTGCGAGGCATCGCTCGTCACAATTTTTATCCTTTTATGTTTCTCCCGCATAAACTGTGGAAATCTCAACCCTGTGCTCCCGATACGAGACGGACTCACGCCGCGTATTCAAATAATATTAAATTTCGTGTCCGGGTTGTCACATGATATAGGGTCAATTGGGGTAAATGTAAACGGAATATCTATTTTTCACCAAAAACATTAGGTTTTTTTTGTTAAAAGGTAAAACGGACGGATTTCTTTTGCATAAACTTGTTACTAGAGTTCCCTAGAAAAATGTTATGAGGTACAAAAAAATATTGATGCACCTGAATCGCCTAAAACTGACTGTTTACATTTACCCCGAGGTTTTGAAATTTTCCTAAAATTCGGGGTAAATGTAAACACCACTGTAGTTAAGCGAGGTTTAAGAAACAAGTTATTTCAAGTATACTACTGTTTTAAGGGATAGAAAAACTGGAAAAAAATTCTTCGTAGATGTATAGTAAATCGACCACTTGACTGATAATGTATCATATAAATAAACAATCAACCATTACAAAATTAGTAATGTAAAAACTTGAATAACTTGAACAAATTTTAATATAGATTTCCATTCAACTTGGTAAAAAGAAGTTTTTAAGGTTGCTGAATAAGAATCTAAAATCGAATTTTTAAATTTCAAAATGGGGGATCCAATATGGCGGATGAACCTAAAAATAATATTTTTAAAAATTCATCAAATTTGCTTGAATCTGGCTACTCGGGGGTTTTTAAGGTCGCTGAATACAAATTTGAAGGCAAATTTTAAATTTTCAAAGTGGCGGATGAACCTAAAAATATTTTTAAAAATTTATCAAATTTTCAAAAAAAAAAATTTTTTTTATCAAATTTTTCTTTTTAAAGAGGACCTAATTTCCTTTTCTATGTAATTTTACATTGCCAAATTAATGAAATTGTGAAATAGAAGCAAAGGAAGAGGGTCGATAAATTTTTATTTAAATGCTTGAAATAAATTTTCCGCCAAAGAAAAATGATGATTATGATGATTGTAGGTTAAATGAGGGTGTTTGGCGAATATTAACCCCTAAATCATAAGGGTTTTCGAATAAAAAATGGGTAAAAAATAAGGGTAAAAAAATGTTCAATTATGAATTAATTGGCTTGAAACTTGTTACTCAGGGGTTTTTGGGGTTGCTGATTACGAATGTAGTGTTAGTTTTTCAAAATTCAAAATGGCGGATCCAATATGGCGGACGAATTTTTTAAAATATGAATTAATTCGCTTGAAAATCATTACTCGGGGGTTTTTGGGGTCGCTGATTACGAATGTAGTGTTAGTTTTTCAAAATTAAAAATGGTATACGACTTTTTTGAAAAATGAATTAATTGTCATGAAAATCGTCACTCGGGAGTTTTTGGGGCCTGGATTACGAATCTGATGTTAGTTTTTCAAAATTAACATCATATTCGTAATCAGCGAACCCAAAAACCCCCGAGTAATAATTTTCAAGCTAATTAAGTCATATTTTAAAAAAGTTGTCCGCCATATTGGATCCGCCATTTTGAATTTTAGAAAACTAACACCAGATTCGTAATCAGCGACCCCAAAAACCCCTCAGTAACGAGTTTCAAGCCAATTAATTCAAAATTGAAAATTTTTTTACCCTTATTTTTTACTCATTTTTTATTCGAAAACCCTTAGGGGAGAGTGGTCCTAAGTTGGCTGTGGGCCTAAGTTGGCCACCCTGCATTTCTCAGAGATGGTATACTGGACGAATCTATAATTTTGTGGTATGATATATTGATAAACCATGATATAATTTATGGACCTAATTATAATCTAAGATTCTTCTACGCATTGTGAGGACAATAATATTGTTTACGACCAAAAAAATTTAATTTTTCTTGTTTTTTCGAGAGCAGCTACAAGAGATAAATAATTAAAAATTTCTAAATGAGTGTGTGCGCTAGTTCCTTTATTTAATGTTGTAATAAGAGGTTCTGTTGATTTTTTAATTCAATTTTTTTTATTAGCGTAATAATTTGAAACTTGTAATAAAATCTACAGTGGTCCTAAGTTGGCCACCTATTGTTTTTGTTTGTTTTTATTTATGTTTTATTTCTTTTTGTGTTTTTTATCACGAGAAAGACAGTAAAAGTGTAACGTAGGAATTAAACAGAGACAAAAAAATGGTTTAAAAAACATTAGAAAAGACATATATTAGTACAAAAACGCCTGTCTCTACAGACATCCACCACTGCAAATAAATGAAATAAAATAATGCTTCATTTTCTAAACAAAAATAGTTAAATAATCCGTTTTAATTCTCCTAAATGTATCAAATTTGTAAAATTTCTGCGTAATTGTAAAGAATATGCATTTCTTTCTTAAACACAAGCGAAAAAAAGTGGTGGCCAACTTAGGACCGCTATTTCTGAAATGTCCAAAATGCAGCTTTTCACTATTTATTGTATTAAAACTACAAAAGCCATTCTATAACGTTCTAAATACCACAAAATTATAGCAAAACAATCTCTGAACACTAATATATACTTGCCGAAGTGATTAAATTTCATTTTGTTACTATTTTCGACCAATTTGCTTAGGCGGACAACTTAGGACCACTCCCCTATTATTTAGGGGTTAATATTCTCCAAACATCCTCATTTAACCTTTAATCATCATAATAATTATTTTTCTTTGGCGGAAAATTTATTTCAAGCATTTAAATAAAAATTTGAAGGGGGCCGAAAACAGGCCTTATCGACCCTCCTCATTTATTCAATTATTTTCTTTTAAAATGTAGTTCAAGTTCTGTTTACATTTACCCCGAGTTTTCGAATTCTCGGGGTAAATGTAAACACTTAATTATTTATTAACTAAATTGACGAAAATCAAAGTCAATTTTTGTTAGGCATTGCCAATTGTTAAAATAAAATATTAACAATACTCAGAACATCTTGTAGGTGAGCTGAGGTAAGAATATTGACGTCGTACTTATATTTTATTTTGTAAATTTTGCTGAAACATCTACTCTTTACATTTACCCCAAATGACCCTACCTATTAATTAATAATTAATAATATATTAATTAAGTGTTTGATGTTATTGTTGATGAATAATGTTTTTAAAAATCTTGGAAAATATTTTAATAGTTAATAAATCAAACGATGTTGTTATTAATAGTGGCCGGTTTGATGCCATTATAACAAATTTTGTTTGCTTTTTAACTCCTTCGCAGTACTGATTTGGTGTTATGCCAGTTTTCTGCCAGTACTGATTTTAATACTTTTTTAACTCCAACGTAGTACTGATTTGGTTTTGGAGTCAGTCTACACGGAGAGAAAATTTATTACATATATTAACACATATCATATATATTTTGTAAAAGTTTTTACAGTTTAGGGAAAAAGTGCACCAAACCGAAATTTTGGTATCAAAAATACTAAACAGTGAAAGAAATAATTTGAAATTTAGTAAAGTTAGATTAAAATTCTTGATATTTGATATTATTATACTAAATTTCATATTATTCCTTTCACTGTTTAGTATTTTTGATACCAAAATTTTGCCTTGTCGCATTTTTTCCCTAAATTGAGAAGCACTCCCGAGTCGAACTTTTAGACCATCTTACCTCCTGGTAAGTACAATTTAACCCTAACCTGCACCTAACAAACCCTTGGTGTTTTTTTCCTCCTGCGTAAATTCTATTTAACTCTGACAACTCCTTTTTAAGTCCTAATTGAACCTTAAACCCTGTATTGCTTCTACCACATTCTTACGCAATAGGAAATGTTACGCGCGGTACAAGATATTCAACTTATTATTGTTTTGCAAATTACAAAATTTTTTATTTTGAAAATTTCACGAAAGAATTCAATTATTTTCTAAAATTTTAATAAATCCTTCGAAAAAATTCAATTATTTTTATAAATAGTAAAATTCTTCCGAAGAATTCAATTAATTTTATAAATAGTAAAATTCTTTGCAGGAATTCAATTATTTTCAAAACAATTTTAATTGAATTCCTTAGATGAATTCAAATATTTTGAAATATTTTCATAAATTGCAATTATTTTCTTAAACTTTAATAAATTCTTCGAAATAATTCAACTATTTTTATAAATACTAAAACTCTTTGCAAGAATTAAATAATTATTAACCCAATTAAAATAAAATTAAACGAAAGAATTTAATTATTTTCAAAAATTCCCATAAAATTTAGTTTCAACAAGAATTAAAAATTTTTGAAAAACAATTTAATTATTCTCAAAATATTTTTAAAAAATTCTATATAAGAATTAAATTACTAGCTCAATACAATTTTTGAATATATTCGTCAAAAGAATTGAAATAATTCTATTATTTTCGAAAAGTAATTAAAATTCTTATGATGAATTCAATTATTTTGAATATACTTAATTTTAATAAAATTCTTTAAAGAAATTCAATTATTTTCGAAACAACTTTAATTGAATTTTTCGAAAAAATTTCATGATTTTTAAATATTTCTATAAAATTCTTCATAAACAATTTAATTATTTCTTAAAATTTTAATAAATTCTTCGCAAGAAATCACTTATTTTCAATACAATTTTAATAAAATTCTTCTTCATAAAATTCAATTGCTTTCGAAATTTTCAATTAAAATTATTAAAGAAACTCCATTAGTTTAAAAAAAATTCAAAGAAATTTTTCAAAAAAATTTAATTAGGATTTTTAAAAATATTAATAAAATTCTTTGCGAGAATTTAGTTATTTTTCTAAATAAAGAAATTCTTTGAAGGAATATTCTATTATTATCAAATTTTTTGATAAAATTCTTTGCAACAATTCGAAGATTTTCAATACATTAATTTTAAAATTAAAAATTAAAAAAAGATTAAGAAACCAAAATGTAAACAACAATTAACTTCAAACTGCGAATAGGTTACCGAAACATGTACTTTTTTATTATTAATTTATAAATATTATTTTTAACTGAAATGTTTTGACATTTTTTTTAAATAATAAAAATATTAATTAATGAATGTTTAAAGGTTATTATTATTAAACAAATTATTTATTTGCTGTAGTGTATTAGTGTCAATTAATGCTTTATTGAATCACTCAACAAGTCACTGAAAATAGAGCGTCTGTGTTCAGTTAGG